CCTCTTTGTAAATCAGAAATTCTGGTACGAAACTGAACACAACGATGTATGAAATTTCAACTAAAATTTAAGGGTAGTTCAGGGACTGAACTGACCACATGTGGATGGATGGTTTCCAAGGACAGATTGCTACAATTTAAAAAAAAAAAGACAACACCAAACTAAAAAAAAAATCTTGAATGACAACTTCTACCAGCATGTTTTCCATGCTGATTTCGGCCAGTCATTTCTTCTGAGCTGATCTAATCAGAAGATGATGGATGGATCAAACTTTGTAATGTGCTGACAACATCTAGCAAAGGAAAAGTGTTCAGCTTGCACCCTGTGAAACAGCTAGTCTGCAGTCCACTTTCCATACTCCTTTTCCTTGAGGAGAGCTTGGAAGCTGTAACAGTAAATATGCTGCTCTCAGGCTTCCCGAGGGATTCTTCAACTTCTTCCTTGGAGAAGGGTGAAACACTGACTGTTGTACTTACCTGCGCGACCTTAAAGCAAAGCAAAACATGATGCCAACACCATTGACATTACAGAGCAAGGACTTTTGTCCACTGCAGTTAGCATCAGTTGAACAAACATTAAGTCAAATCCCTTTCAAATCAAGCTAGAAAGTTAGGATCTCTGCAAAGTCAAAGACTACCTGTGACAGATACTACCTGTTACACTGAATAGAAAGTATAGCAGATTAGAAATACCACCAGTAACACACAACCTTAAGTAGGAATATGCTCAAGGTTTGCAGCAGTTTTCTTGAGGTGGCTGTCTACAACAAGAGAGTGCCAAGCTTTTTAGCTGACACAGATGATACAGGCTGGCTAGTTTGAAAGTTGTGGTGGGAGAAGAAAGTCTGTTTTCTTTCCTTCTGGATTTTCTGCTGATAGCATCAATCCAGTTTCAAGCAAAACTCCTGCAAGAGATATGTTTTTCCAGAGCTAGCTGGATACTTCTCATTGGGGTGTCTCTCATTTAATAAACAAAGCAACATTAATAGAAACGTATGCACACAAAGCTGTTTTGTTATTGAAGCCTTCTGGTGTACTCGGCATATTAGCCACTTGACTCAGACTTGTGAAAGACCAAGCTGAAAGATTCTTTTACCCTCAGACGTGCAGAAAAAGCTCTCCCCATGAGCTAAGCCCTCAAGACAAAGGGAACCACGTACAGTTTTGGCCTTTCACAGTTCTCTGTTTTGATCTCTTTCTGGCAACATACAAGCAGAGGTGCATACAAGCTGGCCAGCTGCACCTCTGCATAATCCTTCCTGAGGCCAGGATAAAAGATGACACATGATCCACATTGGCTCCTAACAGAGATCCAATAGCTCCCAAGACATAGTTTTTCTAGCAGGTATACCCTTCAGCTCTATTCCGAAGAAATTAAATATTCCTAAAGTTAGTTCACATTCTCAGAATCTGAAGATTAGCGAGGACATTAGAGAAGATACAGCTCTGGAAGAAAGAGCAGAAATTCAGTACTCAGGAAGACTGTATCTTTTTTATCCATTCTCCTGATGATGTAACTGTAAGAGGAAAGATAATTAAGATTATCTGGAGCCATAATCTGCATTACTGACCAGAAGGGCTACTTCACTGACAAAGAAATATACAGACAGATAATATTGCGTGCCTGCGAGATCATAAGGAGCCTCCACTTCCAACAACTCCTTCAAAATCATCTAGGACAGGGAAGAACTTTGGGAGCTCATCTTAGTTCAAAGGTCTCAGGGTTTACGGTTTTCATGCAGCCTTGGCAATGAAAACCAGCTCAGGTCCTTTGCATGGTTCTAGCTCAATCCCATAGATGAAAGGTATGGAAGAAAAAGTGAGGCTGTATGACAGCGGTACTTCTTTTGAGCCTTTCTGATGCTCAGAGTCCTCAAGGATGGGACAACTTCACTGGATGTGCAGTTCATTAGCAAACTCTGGATGATTCAAGGTATAATACCAAACCTACTGGAACATAGTGAAGCAGACCTCATGACAAATTTGAAGGTGATCTATCCATCAAGTTGTTTCAGTTCAAAGTCAGAGAAACTCTCCCCTGTACTTGGGTACTCAGAGCAAGTGAGGCTATACTTTGCCTAATTGCAATCCACAGCCTTTTGAAAGGAGTAATATAGACACACAGCATGTGTTCAAGCCATGATGATGCTGACAACAAATCGCAAGCTGTACACATCCTGGTGAATGAGATTCTTGAAGCATATTAGATGCCCATCACAAACTGAACAGGGTTTAACACTGACCATGGGCAACAGTATCGTGAAAATTCTAGCTCAAAAACATTTGATCTAATTAACAGAAAAAACAAATTAGCTCAAAAGCAAACAGTTATAATGCCAGATGTTTTTCCCCTCAGAATTGATACACTTACCAAGTAGAAGTTTTCAGCAAATGTTTTTTATGTGGTGGGTAAAATTTTAAAAATATTACAAAATAAAAATGCTTCTTCAGGTTTGTGACAGCTGCATATGAAATAAGCTCTCAGTATTATAAAATGATCACATAATTTTCTGTTCTACACATAAAAAAACCACCTACCAATCTTTGCTACAACACGCGGATATTTTTACTCAAAGTTATTTTCCACGGAAAAACTGTTAAGTTGGCAGATTGACTGCTAAAGCAAATCATATCTATTCCAACCAAGTTACACAGGACTTGAGAAAAAGACTCATGAACTAAATATGAGCCATTTTATGCAACATCTTTCTTTGAACTGGGTCCCAACTATGCAAGATAACCTTTACTTGCTTTGTACTCAGAGATTAAGGTGTATATTTCAGTGAAATGAGAACAAGATCTCAAATCCCGAAAACTTCACGATGTCTCAGGTAAGACTTGGGTTTTTTCCTTTGTCTATAAGAGAATATCTGGGAATATGGGTATGCCGTACTCCATCTTTACCTTTGACATCTCTCTCATAAATTGAGAGCTGCAAATTTGGCACGTGACTTTTCACAACTGCAACCATAGGAGAATTCTCTACTCCTAAGTAGTTTAAAAGAAAAGATTGAAAGCTAAAAGAAGAACAATATATATTTTTTAAGTGAATTCTGCAATAAATGTAGCAAGAAACTAAAACCGTTGCTCTCGTTGAAAGCCAAAAGAAGAACAATATATATTTTTAAAGTGAATTCTGCAACAAATGTAGCAAGAAACTAAAACCGTTGCTCTCTGCAGACATAATTAACTAGATATACACACTTCAATGGCAGCTGTCAAGCTCAAATTGACAAACTAGCAAATTTACTCAATCTGGTTATGTATTCCCTGATTTGGTTGCAATTGAGAAGGTTACCGTGCCCTGACAGTATTTAAAAGCAGCCACACCATATCCTAGTAGAAAGTGGAACTCTGACAACTTAGGGTACTCTGTGGCTTCACATTCTGGTGTTAACTACATATTTGAGTTTTGCTAAAGGTACTTCTTATAGATGTTCCACTGTTCTTGTGCAGCCACAACTCTTACTTGTAAGAAAAACTTTTCTAGAAATGAGTGGGTATAACATTTTGGGTGCGATGTTCTGGAAAGTAAGAGATAAGCGATGCAGTTTGACTTTTCACATAAACTATTAATAAATGCAAGGAGGAAAACATTTTACTGCATTAAATATGTTCACCAAGCTGCTATAACTGGGTATTCCTACAGTTTAATATTCCATAGCAAGTGCTGTAAACAACTGCTTTATTTGCTTATTGAAAGCAGTAGTCTTAAGTCTGAGGCTGCTGTTACTAAAGCCTCATTTTGGATAAGAGGCCTGAAACAGCTTGGTAATAAACTTATTTAGCCTGACTTGAGAAATACAATTGAAATCAACATCTGACCTCCACAGTTTCTAAAAATAGTCATCTTTTTTCAACTGAGGAAGTTTCCTCCATTTAAAATTTTGCTTACTTGATGGAAACCACACTTTAATATTTCATATCTTTGCTGCACATAGCCGAAGAATGGATGAAGAGTGGAAAGTCAATCCTGCACTTTCAGCCTTGTAGTTGCAGCGTTTTCTATTCATAAATTCAATTGCCTGACTTTATCTTCAAAGAACTTTTTCCCAGTTGCCACACTAAGTAGCCAGTGGGCAAATACTGAAAGGTCAACAGTTGCTTCTCTAATTCCTTGCTATGAACACATACCAAGGAGAGTTATGTGTATTTCCAAAATTGACCTTCAGTTACCAAGACATCTCAAGGAATGGAAGGAACATGAAGGAAGTGGGTGAACTGTCATTTATTTTCTCGTTCTGTGGAGTGATAAATTTCAGCATCTGCCTGCCCTCTAACAGAGTACTATGTTTTGTTTAGGGGAGACAAAATATTATTCAAATGAAAAAGTGCTATCATATCTTTTTACTGAAGACCAAAAAATACTATGAATTTAATTTTTGGCAAGATCTCTTAATTTGTTTTTGAAAGCAATTCTGATCATCTTCCAAAATTAAGACAGAACCTAGCTATCAGCATCCAAGGTTTATTGCTTTCTTCATATAATCACTAGAAAATAATTAGCAAGATACACATGGCAACACAAACAATACAGTCTGTATTTTCTTCATTTTGATTGGCACCACAACCAGTGTCAAACATCCAGGTCTTGTGAATGCTGAAGTTCAGAACACAGCTGAGTTGTCTTTAGTGTAACAGTTTAGTAAGTGCAATGAATTTCACACAAAGTAAGAAGTCTGGTAAACATAAGATCTCTTTAGAGTGCTGTAATTACACCTGTAGAGAAACACAAAACCAAGAGCAGCATGCTACTCCCAAAAGCCACTAAAATAAAAAAATGCAAATATTACTGAAGTGGAAAGGGCATGGCAGTAAAAAGTTAAATGCCTGATAAGAACTGACAAGACTTGACAATTACAAGGCAACTAAGAAAATGACAACCTTTGTTCTTCTAGAACCACTTTTTCAAGAGTGTCAAAATAAAAAATTGCTTTTGAGTAACTGTGAAACTGAAACCACAATACTGTTTTTTCAACAAAGACATGATACTGCACTTACCAACTGGACTGGTACCAGCTCCATTTGGCACTGTGAGGTCAGTTGTCCCCAGCATTCCACCTAATAAAAATAAGGCGGAGCATTAAACTAACTTGCTCTCATTACAGTACCGTATCATTTTGTACTGTAAAACTTAAGCCATTAAAAAAAAAAAAAAGAAAACGCACCGATACCATTAGGAACTTGTCACTTGTTTGTTTGCGGGTTGTTGGTTTTTTTTTAATTAACAAAAAAAATAAAAAGAGGGTATAAAAGGAAAGCACAACAGTACCAAAATCTTACCTGCATTGCCAGTACTCGGTGGTCTCTGGGGGGCCCCAGGTGATACGTTCCGATGCAGGGTGGCCTGAGGTGGGGAGAGCATGGTAGTGTCCGTTAACGATGAACTGGCTGCCAGTGACGGGGATACAAGGGAACTTCCTGGGTTACTGTAGGTTAAAGTGTTGGGATTGGACACTGGAACTGTAACCGACATTGAGAAGTTCTGAGCAGGCAAGCCAGGCTGAAGGAAAGACGACAAGAAATACACACAAGACAATAACATTAACTATGTTTGCAGAAATAGCACATTATAAAAATACACACTAAAGTTTGCCAAGTATTACTCGGGTTAAGAAAAAAGTTAATTATGTTAGTTTTTAAACTCTATTAAGCATACAGTTTTAAAACATCAATTTGTTGTAGAGCATGGTGTTAAAATCTTATACATCAAATAAATAACAGTTCCAAAAGAATTGCTCATAAACTTCTAAAATACTGAAAGTTCAAATACAAAAAACCTGAAGAAATTCATATGAATTCACAAGCTTGGAAATACAATAAATTTATCAGTTAATTTGGATTACTACAAAGCAATGACAAGCTAAACATGTCTACAAATCAACGAACTGTTGCACCTTCAAAATGTAAGCATAAACATGCACATTATAACACAGTTATTACACAAAAAAGAAAAAGTTAGTAATAACATTTTCTATTAACAACCTTCCCAAATTATTGCTAATCTCTAAAACTTTTTCAAGAGACTAAATGAAGTAAACAGATCTTTAGGAATTCACTAAATTCAGTAATCTGAATTTAAACTTTTCAATTACTATTCTGAGCTGTGTTCCATAAAACCCTGCTTGAATAACCACTCCATCTTGCCTTTTTGCAAAATTCATTTTTTAAAGTTCCAATTTTTACAGCATTATTTAAAGGGCAATTCTTTTTCTGAAGTATATATGTTTGTTATTCAACAACTATTTGAATCAAAAGCTTAGATGCCTGCCCATCTATGGTACTCATTTGGTTATGACTAACTTCTCTGGCCTTTGTCTCATTCCTATCCTTTGACAGTAATGAGTTTCAGAAACAAAAGGGACTATTTTCTTTCACAACTCTTATAATTATTGGAAACAAAACCATCACAGGTACAATTGAAGGGTTAAAAAAAAAAAAGGTATTTATTGACAGAATAGAGAGATAATAGTTTTGATTTACAGGTCAAATGCAGGTGACATATTCATGACCTAGCAAGTATACTTAGAAAGACGCAGTTTTGTCATGTGCAGCTTAAAATTGACTTAGCATGATACTTCTGTACAACAATTTTGAAAATATTAGAAATACAACAACTATACTAATTAAACCAGCATAACACATTTTCTACAAGAAGCAAAATCTCTTACTAGTGAGAGCCAGTGACAGCATCCTTACTGAAGCAGTCCTAAGAATAATTATCAATTTTTGGCACAGTTGGAAGGAAAAAGTAATGAAGCATAGCAACGTAATGTTAGCAAATCATTCACACTATCTAACTAATGACAAGCTGTACTGGTATTTGTTTTCATGGGAAACTACTTCAAGAAACTATTCAATATCTACCAAAAAAATGTTTGTCTTTAAACAGCATGCTGTCAAGTAATTCAAACTAAACTTGAAATACCTGAAGTATGCTTAAAACAATGGTAGGAGCTAACAGTTGGAACATTTATTCTGTAGGTTTCTCAATACAGAAGTAATAAATGACAGCTTCTCCCCACACCTTACAATAAAGGCTGCCTCTGCCCATCTACGGTACTCATTTGGTTATGACTGAATTCTTCACGCTTTGCCTCATTCCTATCCTTTGACAGTAATGAGAGCACTAGAACAAAAGAAACTATGTTCTTATACAGATCCGTAAGTACTGGAAATAGAACCAGAACAGGTCCAACTTAAGCTATAAATACAGAGCTACAGAACTTAAAAAATAATGCTGCCTTTTTTTGTTTATGCTGATGTTCACATAGACAATTTAGGCTGTTCATGAAGACCACAGAAAATCAAGGGAGAGCAATTCAGTTGTATCATACTGAGAGGAGGAGGCCTGAAGATGTCTCAACACAGAAGCGTTGGATATCAAAAGCTTCAAAACAAAGCAGGAAAAAAAGATACTGGCTTCATTCAAGTATAAAGAACTTGCTAAAAGAAGAGATGCTGGATGTCATGACTGTCAGTTTTCTGTTAACTCCCCAGAGATGGCCTTATTGCTCTGAACAATGAAATAATTTCTATAATCAGCAAGTCATTTGGGGACACACTACTCAATTACCCCAGGGTCTGTGCCGATAAACCTACCCAGTCCATTTTCTTTAATTGCTACAAGATTTGCAATGGTAAAAAATTCAAAGGCTGTGGCAGAGCCCTGTATTACTTTTCTTAGAAAATACTTCCCCTGGAATACTCAACACTAATTGGTTTTTGTAGATGGAAATTAAATGTCATGAAAAGCATGCAAAATTTACACTACTGTTATCCCCAAACTTCTAGAGCCCAATAATTTTTTTCCAAGAGTCCTTCTCCACTAAATCATCTTTTTTGCCTTAGACACCAAAATTGAAGCAAGATATATGAAACTGAGAACAGGAACAATCTGTAAATATAAGGGGTCCAGACAGTGCCAATTTAATTTTTTAATTAGATAACACTAAAATGAAAAACGATCCTCTGATCACACAACGGGATAGGAGATCATATCTTTCTAAAGCAATTAAGTGACTTATTGCTGCAAATGGATTAGGCACTTGGGACAAAGTTTTGAAAGATCTTTCTGTGTTCAAGGAAGCATCTGTTGGAATTTCAATAGCAGTTAAGACACCAATCTTTTGAGGCTCCCATAGGGCACCCGTCTTTACCTTTAAAGATCTAAATATCTTTCTCTATCCAATCTTCAGCAAAATAAGACTCCACTGATTTGATGAGAAAATTAATCCAATTCTATTTGCCTGTTTGTAACATACTGTAAAATCTTGATTAACAGACAGATAAAGAGCTACAAGATGTAAATAAACTATCCAACATCCCACGCCAATATCTATATTTATAAAAATATTTTAGGTAGGATTAGGCAATGCAGCTAGGCTCCTGAAATTTAGAAATGTTACCTCATGTTCACAAGGTATGAAAAACTGGGAGTGCAAGAGAGGAGCTAGAGATAAATCATCTCATTCTTTAAGATAAAATGTATTTTAGCAAGATCAAGTACCAGCATCTCATTTTTCCTCAAAAATATATATTCCCGTTTCAAACCATTACATCCTCTTGTCTTTGCAGTGGTAGTGGTTTTCCGTGGTAAGCAAACACTGTGAAAATTCTCATGCACGTAATAGAAGCACAAACCATACTTTAGTACTCACTGCGATTTTATGATTCCGCATCATATTATCAAACTCTTCATTAATTTTTTTATATTTTTCTTCTGTATGTGGCGTGAGCACATATGAAGTGTCAGGGTCCGGGCTGTCGCACCCTCTGTGTTCCTTCTTGTTCAGAGCCTAAATAATGAAGTTAATAAAAAGGATCAACAAATAAAAAGTAGAGATAAAATAAAAGTACTTACAGGGCCTCGCTTGAAAATAAAATCACTATCTTCATTTAGTTTGCTGAATCTGTCCTCCGATAGTGGACTGTGCTCAAAGTAATCGTCAGCATCAGGGCTCTCACAACCATTAAGGCCTTTCTTTCTTAAGGTCTGAAATACAATTGGAAAATTCACATACAAATCATACTAACTTGCCAAGAAGTTTTGTATACTACTGAATCATTCAGAGCCACTGAAACTACATGAAACTTTCACAGACAAAAATCACTGTTCAGACAGGCTTAGTCTTTCAAAATAGTAGCATAATACACAAAGAGAAAAGGTTCATTCAGAGGCACAAACTCTCCCAGGTGCCATCTCATGGGTTACTTTAACCTACACCCACTTCATCTCTCCAGTGTTCCATGCAAAACAGTTTTTAGATACTGGCTGATGAAGTAAAGTTATCCGACAGACAGAATGTTCAAGCGTATGGCAAAGGAGTTCATGTCATCACTGGTAATTAACAGCCAGTTTACTGAATCTTTAATAAAATTTATTTTAGCATCCCAATTTTAATATTCACATTTTAACGAGCATACAGTTAAGCTGAGAAACACACTAGCTAAAATTTTCGATCAAATTCAACAACTGCAGTACATTAAGATATGTAACACTTGGTATAAAGGCAGGATTTTCCTGCACGTCTGTCATCCTGCATAACAACTGCAAAAAAGTATAAGAAGAAATTACATAATCCCTGTCTAAAATGACTTAGTTTGCTAAATATAAGTTTTTTTCAGACTCCTTTAGACGAACTCGATGCAACTGCTTTATTGGGTTACTTCCTCTTTTCTGATGGAGAACTCATATCAACATCCCCTGGAAAAAAAACACAAACTTGTCTACAATCTAGGCATCACAAATAACCTATTGAAAGAAAGGATGTGAAACTACAGGTCTTGTGACCACATTTAAAAAAGTGTTTGTATTCCTTGCTGTTTTTCTTTTTCACCCTACTACACAATCAGAAATCTTTCTTTGCAAGTTCTCGTTTATAACAAAACAAGATTTAAAATATTACCTATGGAAAAATCTTTAATGCTTTTAAAATGTTTCAAAAGGAAAGCAACATAAATTTTTGAACAGGTACACATTAGCAGTACATAAGGCAGCAGTAGGACTATACAGGCGTGAGGGCGGTTGTGTTTTCTTTTTGTGAATTCATATTCTATGAATTTTACACTAAAAACCTTTAAAGATTTGAAATTTGCAAGCTGACATTCTCAGCATCATACAGAAATTGCGTTTCATTTCCTATAGAAGCTATGTTTCCATAACACAACTAATTTCTAATTTAAAAAAAACAAACTATGTTTTAGTTTAGACTATTCATCAGCATTTTTTCTTAAAGCGCTATCTACAAAATTTTAGCATAATAAAAAGTACATAACACCTTCTCACTATTCATTTAGATGCAAAATACTGCCTGTTTCTACTGCAGTTTTAAAGCAGTACTTGAAAATTCAATTACGCTGCCTGAAATTCTTTAATATCACAGGTCACCATAAGCTATAATTCCTTCTCAGGTTTCTTGGCCTGCTCCGTGTATCCCACACAGTGTCTGGAACTCCCACAAAAATGTAATCACTAAATCAGCATATGGGGAAAACAGGTGTAGCGTCCTCCAACACCTGTCACGGCGCTGATCCTGCGCCTCTAACCACCAATCAGCTGGACACGTATATGGACTTGGCCATACAAGGGCCGGCAGTTCGGCCTCTCAAGGTCGGAGCCTGTTATCCCTCTCCCAGCCCCTCCTAACAAGTCAGCCTGCCAGTCTCCTACACTTTGATATCTGTACGGAAAATGTTAACACTGTATAATCTGGATTGCACTTAACCCCTGCGACTCACCGAATTCTGTATATAGAATCCAAATATGTCTTTACACGGTGCTCAGCATCTACATGCATACGCAGTGCCCGAGACATGATTAAAAGCTGTATTTACATACTATAAAGAAAGATCTTGCAAGAAATACACATACCATCTAGCTCACCTCCTTTGATAAAAAGGTTAGAGCAATTTTAAGTATTGCAGCATGCAAGTTTCACTACTGCTCCTTTCAATATTCTAAAATAATCAAGAGAAAGCTTTTAAGTGTAATGCTGTCGATTCATCCTCTCAGATCTGTCTGAAAATTATACTCAAAGTTCTAATGCAAAGGAAGAGATTTAGTTAAGTATAGAAGTGCATCCTTCCTCTTCGTGACCAGTTATTTTTATTTTTGATAACAATGGGGTTAACTCTGCTTTGACTCATGAGGAAGGAAAATGCCTCAGTATCTCCCATTTAAGATTCTGGAAACCTTCACTCCAGATGGGGTTCCTGTCATTGTGGAAGGATTTAAGCCACGGTTCACTTTTACAGATAATAAGTCTGGGTCTGATATCCAAAGCTCTGTCTCCTTATCACTAAAAGCACGAACTGCCACTTTGAGGACCTAACCATAAAAAGACTGGCAACTTTATCATTGCCCAGCAACATAATAGTAAAACATTTCTGCTCCGTGGCTGGTACTAACAAGTGGAATGCTGTAATCTGTTCACACGGCCAGGCGAAGCCTACGCGAGACAGCCCAGCCTCAGCTTTCTCACAGGCTACAGAGTGAGACATGATAACGGGCCCATGCTCAAGGGACAACAGGGCAGGCCATGACTACTGAGAATCGCTCTGTGGGCACGCAGGAAAGCCAAACTCCATAAACAAGTGCTGACTCCACCCTCGAGATTCTCTATAGCTGAAGTGTGTTATTTCTCCAATAACATAATGTAAATAACTCACTCCCCCCACCCCCACCCCCCCAGCTACTTCCAAGATATTATCATGGAGACTGAAATTTTTATTAGTTCTGGAGATGAGGGGAGGGAGAGGAGGTGGAGGGGTGTAGAGAAAAAAATGCCAGTTAGTGACACCAAGTAATATAACATGAAGGGAGTTATATTTCTCTGTTGTGGTACACAGGCTTGTCTAGAATAAAATCAGAGTTCTTGCAGTTGAGACTAATAAATATAGAACACAAATCTTACTACATACAACAAGAGGGGAAAAGAACATTGAATTTCAAGTTTTTTCTATTGGATGCCCACTGCAATTACCTTCTGGTGTTAAGTCTTATTTTCCAGATCATCTGAGGGAATGTGTAGCCTTTTGAGTTAATCTGTATTACTTTCCACTTCCTCTAAGACTTAGCCAAAATTACTGGAAATTGTTCCAACATGTTTGCCAACACACAGTATTGTGCCTCCAGTAAGTGAGATTGTGCAGCTTTGATATTAAACTGGATTAACTAACTGATGAGAGAAAAGTACTGATTTTTGTCAGAAAATAGTGCAAAGTATTTATGAGGAACCAAGGCAGGTATGAAATGTGTTTTTAGAAGAATCAAGCAAACACAACAATATAGTTGTGTGACATACAAAGTGTTCCAGACAGCTGTAGTCAACTTGATATTGCAGAATGACCCAGAAGTTTTAAACTATTTTTGTTCCACTGTGTAAATCTGAAATATGCAAATATTATGACTATTAGCTTAATATTGATTTTTTTGCATGACAGGGGTTAGAAAACATTGTATGAGAACAGCTGGACTAGCTCTGACAGATTTAAATATTACATACAAGCACAAGAGCCCCAATATTTTCCTGAACTTCCCCACACACATGCAAAGTACTTTTTAATTGCACTGCATTTTGCTAATTTAAGAAAAAAATCATGCCTTGGCAAGAAGCATCTAAGAAACAGAAGAAAGGCTTCTGGCAGAACAACAACAACAAAAAAATAATTAGCTTCTCTCTACAGTTCAATATAAATTTTACTGAAACTGATAATAGAGATACCAAAGAGTACAAAAATACAATAAAGTTATTTATTGTATGATCCATGAGGAAGCAAAGATGATATTCAACCATCACGGTGTCATTATCTTAGCATTAGTTTCCTTCCACAAAATCCAACTGAGAAACATGAAATGCAGGAGCTTTAAGGCTGCTCAGTCTCCACAGCATGATATCAAGTCACCACCTTCTCCAAGGCTTGTTCTAACCCAGCTGCACACAGCTTCTATCGCACAAACTTACACTGGCTCAATATACTGGTCATCAGCAGTTCTGGAAACCAGAAACTCTGAACTAATAAACACAGATTCCCGCTACCAGTAATGAAGTTAAGCAACAACCCCCAACTGTCCTCCTCGCCATGAAAGATCCTGGTTTTTATATTCCAGGCTGAAAGGACACATTGTTAATAGTTAGAATTAGAAGAGCACAATCACCATGTTTTGTGCTCCGATTCACCAAATGTGGTTTAAAAGCCAAGACTTCTGATATTGGTGATCTGGGCTCCTTACCAGCTCTGCCAAAACTGTACAGAACTTGATTATGTTCATTGTCACCTCAGGAAATAGTATTTTTCTGCCTTAAAGGACAAGAGTAGTATGACCTCATATGTAAAAAGTGTTATGAAGTGCAAAAAAGTGTCAGTTCATTCAAAACATTTTCAACACTGGGTTTCTTGTAATATTACAAAAAAAGGAAACGTACTATGTATCATGTTACCAGCTCTATTTTTGCACTTACTATTGGAGCTGGCCAAACAGGGTTTTTGTTGGTGTTTCATCCCAAATCACGAGGAAAAACATTTCCAAAATTTGACTAAGACTTCCCTTGGAAAAGGCAAACCTTTCACTTAGAACCAGTGGCTAATACTGTTTCTGCTGTTGCAGTCAGAGCATGGAAAAAACTGTGAAGCAGCACAAATTTGGAGTAAATACTTTTTCAAAAATTGTGATTTAAAGAAGTGTAAGTATTCCTCAGGCCTGAAGTAATGGAAAGGCTCCACTAGCACTGCCAAATATTGTTGTTCCAGTAGGCATGTACACCATGGTTTTCAAAAGGATAATCAATTAAACAGTTTCCTGATGCTCTAGAGAGCTGCCATGCAATAGTGGAGGAGAGGACACTGCTGCCACTTGCACCAAATTCCAAAGGCTCCTCATCCCCGAATGCAGTCGCCAAGAGCTCACACAGCTCTGTGCAGGAAGGATGGCACTGAGCATCACTCTGTCATATAACTGTAAGGTCACCAAGGCAAAAATACTGTGAAGTTGCAACCTCACACCGGGAGAATGCAAAAGAAAGTACTGTT